CAAAGCAGCACAGATGTAAGAACAACTGTTTAAAGATGTCCTTATCCCTCTCCAATCTGTCTGAGGCATCCACACCCCTTGTTACTTGCAGGGTTGTACCTCAAAGAGAGGCTGGACAGTAAAAAATCATTAATTATTAAGTTAACCATCAGTGCTTCTAAGGGAAATTGAAATAACTGGTTTTAACTTGATCATTTATTCAATTATTTGTAGCATAAAATATCACAGTGCTTAAGAAAAGTAGTCAAGAGACCAAAGTAAAAGGAGTTATGATTTTCTGCCAAGGAGTAAGGCAGGCAGAGTTCTCCTCAGTCTCAAAGATGTACACACACAAATGTAAAGCATTTATGACAGGACAGATGTACAAGGCACAGATGACATTACACAGAGCTCTCCCAGCCAGGTGAGAGTTGTGATCTTACACCACTGCTACCTGGCCCAGCAGCCAAGTCATGCTTCCCACTGTCCCAGGGGAACAGGGAAGGAGGCTGGGCTGTACAGCTCACACCAGGGACTCTTGCCCCCACCCATCCCCACAGGCACCGTCTGAGTCCCCAGGCAGGGCCAGCGAGGCAGGGCATCCCCTGGCAGTGAGTAATCCATGCTGCACTTCCCTGAACAGTTCCAGCCCAGACTGACAGCAACAGGGAGAGGTGCATGGTCTCTCCTGGCTCCAGCAGCCTGCTCCCAGCCATACACTGCCCGCTCCCACAGCACAGCATGAACAGAAACATCAAAGTTCAGCTCCACCCTGGATGTGAGGAGGAAGCCAGTCTGAACTTACTACACCAGCAAAGAGAAACAAAACCCCTACATGCCCCACAAAAAACATCTCCTAATCCAGCTTCATTTTCAAACAGCCAGGAGGACAGAAAGGGGCACCTGGGACGACTCTGGGTGGCAGTGCCAGCTGAAAGCACCTTGTTCATGTCAGTTCCTTCAGGCTGCCTTTATGAACACTCAGAGAAGAGCCAGAGGCTCTGCAGGACACAGAGCAGGAGGTGCCTCTGTGTCTCCCAGAGCTGCAGGGCAGCGTGGGACACAGCCCAGCCAACTCCATACCAACGTCTGGCCAGGGAGACTATCCTTGCCCACAGGGTTTCTGAAGCCTGGGTAACATATCTGGCACCAAGTCAAAAATCTAATGACATTAAAAAAACCCTGTAGGAGAGATAAAACAGTTGACAAAGGAAAAACTACACAGACATAAGTAAGAATACTAGGAATGAATTTACAGTCCTTTTAAGGATGTACTGCAAAACAAGATTCATCACAGATTGCTCTAAATACTTTGGATTTGTTTAAGAAACACACTCTTAGTGGTTTCTTTCACAGAGCTAAGAAGAATGTGTGCACCATCCCCACAGGGAGCTCCAGCCCATGACAGCAATACCCACCTTACTGACCTGAACCAAGAGAAGAACACACTCTTGCAGCAGGTGATAAACAGGTGGAGGAGAAAGGAAAAGGAGAAGAAATGCAGTTTACTTTTAGTCTAGCAGTTCAAGCTCAGGAGTTGCACTCACAACTCAAGAATCCCCAGCAGTGCCCTGCAGCAAACACACTCTGCCAGCATCACTGTCAAATGCAGCCCTGAAGTGCCAGGAGATGGGAAGCTCCAGGGTAACACCCAAGCAAACTCTGGATGCCAGAGAGGTTTTATAGGCACAGCCATCCTCATCCACTTAATCCACAGCCAGCTGGAACCAGCTTCACCAGGCCCCACAGTAACTCCTGATTGCTGCACATCACATTCTCTAAGTCCCACAGGCCACCAGGACTGCCTGACAGCCTCTGCCAAAGGCACCATAAATTATAGAAAAGGTAATAAAGTTTAATTTAAGTATACATCAGTTCCCTCCCCTAAAAATTGAGTCACCTTGCACTCAACATTAATCTTGTTCTAGGCCACTATGGTAGCAAACATTGGTGTCACTGCAGAAACCATTTGTAATTCCTCTTTGCAAATTAAACTGGCATTTGGAGGAAGCCAGTAAGCCACACTTATTCCAGTTTCTCCTAGGATTTTAATAAATTTTAACCACATGAATCAGTTTAAAATCTCATCTTTCTCAGAAAGAATCACTCAACAGATACACTCACTCTGAAAAAAAACAAGCCAATTAAAAAAGCAACATTCAAGTACATTTGCTGACAGAGTCTGAATGGGAGAATACCACTAATCCTTCTGATTTGGAAGGAATACCCTCCATCAAGGAAACTATTCATGCTGAAAGGCAAGAGCTGCACTCATCACATTTTATCCAGCCTGGATTTGCAAGGAATAGAAGCCTTGATGTCACGTTTAGTTACCGAGGTGGGAAAAGCATGAATGGATGCCTAAAACAAAACAAAAAATACTAACACACACAAAAATACAAACACACACACACCTTCTTAAATCTACTTTATACATATCTCTCCATCTTTCAGCCAAAAAGAACAGATGTGAAAAAGAGTAGTCTGATACATGTTTTTTAATGAAACTTAACATTAAATTTAAAATCTAGTAGAAAGAATTTTGTACTGGAGTTGAGATGTGAAGAGGGAGTTCAACCAAACAGCTGTCCTGAAGTATCAGACATTTTCCTTGGTACCTTCTGACAGATAATATCTTCTATGAGAAAAGAAAATAACCACTCTGCCAAGAATTCCTCCTACTCCTTTAATCTTTATTTTTAACTTCAGGTTTAACTTTAAAAGTTAACTTTTTAACATCTCTCCTACAAAAGATGGATTCAAAACAAATGGACCCTCCACAACTGACTGATCTTAAACTTGGAGGTTTCAGGCTGAAGTCCCCAAACCCTTGGCAGGCACCATCTGTCAGATGGAGCACAGTAACACACAAACTCCTGACCATCAGTGTTCACAAATTTACTTGGTATTTAACATGAACTTGTCTTATTTTATAATTTTGCTTGGCTAAGGACTGACAAGTGTTCAGCTCAGCTAAAACTTCCCAAGAGTTCCAGCTGGCAAATAAACAAAACTCACTAAGTAACAGTGACCCACTTGATTTCAATGGTTAAAACAGATGCTTTGGGCAAAATTATTCAATTGACAGTTAAACTGGTTTAAGTATGCCACACTAAGATCACAAGCAGAAATTTAGCTTATTGCTTAAATGATTACTGGCTAAACTGGTGTACTTTTGTAGCACAGATACACTACACAACAACCAAAGACAAGCACGAGAGAATCCATGCAACCTCCATCAATCTTCCTAAGGTTATTCCTATTACAAGGAGTATTTGGGGGAAAAAAATGATATCTGCAATAGCAAAATGGAATTGTGAGATAAAGGACAGATAACTAACAGCTTTGTTTGCTGGTTCCTGTGCCCCCACCTCCCTCTCCCCCAGGAGTACAGCAGGTGTTTCAGTTAGAGAAAGAAATCCATGAAAGCTTTCAGCAGGCAGCAGTGACACTCAGCACACAACTCCACCTCCATTCTGCTTTTCTCACCAAGATCCCTTCAGACCAAATCATTATTGCATTACAAAACTTCAGTGAACACGGTTTTGGGCTTTAGGAACAACTATACAGTCATAAGCAACATTAAATACTTGCAAAGCCACGTCCTTAAATATAAATACAACCCTTCCCACACAGGTTAAATCAGAAAGTGTGAAATATTTTAAGTAACATCAGAATAGTAAAAAAAAATCACTTTTGGAAAACCAAAGGGGAAAAATAGCCTAATATTTAACACAACTGTTATCAGAATGCAAGATAAATATCCTTGTAAGGCATAGGAACAACCTCCAACAACTGACCCTTGGTACTCAATAACTTAAAAATACCACACAGGATTTCAGCTGCTTCATTTCAGAAGGAAAAAAAAAGGTAGTAAGGAACTGGAGGTATCAGGAAATACTGAGCATCTCTTTCCAAAAGGAAGTGTGCATGTCTAACTATTCACACAACACAAAAATAAACTAGAATATTTATTAGCTCAGAGAAACCAAACGCAGCATACCCACAACAACATTTACACCTGATCAAATATGTTAAACAAAGCAGCTCCTAATTAGCTTTTTGATTACAACAACCATGAAGTGACTTTGTGAAACATTAAGGAACAGCATGAGACATACTAGTGGAGCCAGAGTTTCAAATGAAGTGTTTTACTCTAAAAATAGTTGCATATTTCAAGTGTTGAACCTGCTCGAATGCTGGGGCACGCGATATCTGCTTCTGGGAAGCTACAGCACAGAAGTTAACTCACAAGGTCAATAACTGAAGAAAACCCTGCTCTCACATGGCTCTGTTCTTTAACAGCACTGCGAGAATTATCCAGCATTTCCTTAGGAAAGCACTAAAATACAAAACAAAATTGGTATTTGAATGTTTTTTTGAAGCAGCTGACTTCAAAAATACTTTCAGAAAGCCTGTAAACATTTACAACACAGTATGTGTATTAATACAACATTATTACTTTCAAGGTCAGTATTACACATGCAGTTTTCTTGGAGCTACATATTTTGGTGTTATTTTTAACATCTGACAGAGCATCTTGTACTGTTGCAAGCTCTACACTGTTTACAAATACTCCCAAGCTGCAGCTGCTGACTCTACAGAGCATGTCTTGCCATAGCAAAAGGAAAAGTAATTTTAATCATCCATTAATGGCATTTTTTACAGTACTATATGAACTCATGTTCTGTAGATTGACTTTGTAATTTTTCCGCCTTTTGACAATTACATGGAACAACAGGATTTGGTTACAAGAATATCCATTTCTACAAAAGGTCAAAAAAGTCCAAGTACACTTGAGAGACACGTCTAACCCTGTTCAGATTATGGATGAACTTCACAGCCTCTCTCAGCAGGTGCTATTTCAGGAACCTCTACATTTGGCTTACTTTTTTAAATGGAAATGCAGAGATAAAAAAAGCTGGTTTGAAATTAAATGCCAAGTTTCTGTTTTAATTCTTCATTCTCCCAAAATATTTAACCACCAGCACAAGAGCAGAAGGTAGCAGTAAACAACTTACCCACACAAGCATTTAGGAACAGCCAGTCAGTCTTTTTCATTCTATTTTTTATTTGCTTTAGTTTTTTGAAGTCAACTTCAAGCTCCTCCTTGCTGCCAACAGCTCCAGCCAATTCAATTCTTTGGAAGTCCATTTTCACATCAGATTCACGTTTGGTTGTTGGTGGAGATCTTCTTTGGCTATTACCACTACTACAGCTGCCTCTCCACCGAGCCCTGTCTTGCTCGTTTATGATGGAAGAAGCCTCTTCTGTGTCTGCCAGTTCTATTGCTTCAATGTTGTTGGGTCTGGGGTGGTCACACACAACACATTTCCTGGCCTTGGCCCAGTTTTCATATGTACAAACAGAACAAGTCCAGTGCTGAGCCCTTGTGTTCAGTTTATTTCTGTCATTGTATTCCTCACACGGATCCACGGAAAAAGGGACCGGTCTGGACCCGGAGCCTGAGGACTGAGGGGACTCCGTGGGACTCCTGGTCCTGCGCTGAGACAAGCACTGGGTACACCTTATAGCTCTTGGCCAGTTCAAGTACGTGCACATGTGGCACGACCATTTATTTGCACTTTCCATACTGTAGGATGATTTAACCCTTGGTCTTGCACTGGAATCCGGGCAGATCAAAGGACTGCTCCCTCCTTCAGTGCTCGTAGGATCCCAGTCCCTCCCGATATCACTGGAACCACTTTTGAAAGGATCTTCTGTGATAATTGTTCCGCTGGGTCTCTGGGCACGACACATGGTGCACTTGATTGCAGAAGGCCAATTCTCATATGTACAATACTCACAGGCCCATTTAATTCCACGCTCTGTCATCGTGCACTCCTTGAAATGAACTGCGGCGAGCAGAAAGCTGAGGAGTCAGAACACACCATCAGTACACAGTGCCAGCAAAGGAGCTGTTCAAAACAGCAAATGAATGAGATTTAACCCCATGGATATAAAAATCAGGCTGGACTAACAGGCAGTGTTTTTTATTTCATATTATTACAACATCTAAGGGGAGTAAAATCACTATGAAAAGGGTAAGACTTGACCTACCAGCATTTTACATGCAGAATTCAGGATTTACTAGTGCAAAAATGAGAAAAACCCTCAGTCCTGCATTTCTGGAACTTCAGATTTGCACTTCCCAACAAATTCAGAATACCCATTAAGCACTGAGAATACTGGGGAAATGACCAGTACAGCCACAGAAACAAGTTATAAATATTAAATTATTAAAATAAAACCCAATGTGAACACAGCAGTACTAGAAAAGGAACACAAAGTCTAGGTCCTGTATTAGACCTCAAAGGATTTGGAAGGATGGAGTGTATCAGGTAGGCAGTTACACAGTGAGTAAGCAGTTCTTTCAGAAAGGGAGGGTGTTGGAATTTACATAAAATATTTACAATTTGAAAATTTTAGAAATGTGCTTAACCAAGTCTAGGTCTTGACTGGACATCATCCATATCAGAAGTATTCCAAAGTGAAAATGCCACTTGAAAGCAAGCACAAGCTGTGTGTGTTGGCAGGCTAAGACAGTATTTTCATGCTACAAATTCAAATTTCAACCCAATTCCAACTCACTTTTTCTCTAATGAAGAGGGAATTCTGTCTTCATGCTGGCTCAGACCTTTTCTTCAGATTGCCGAATATGAAGGATGAGACTAAGCAGATAACTATTCCTGTAAACAAAATGAACACAGACTCATTACAGGTTTCCTACTGGACCTGAGTAACCAGAAAGTTAATTATTAAATGCCACACCTATTCTAATCCAAATTTACTCAGTTAAACCCAGTCATGACCTGCTGAAGCCATGACAGACTGGTAAAAATAAACCAATATTTATAAAAAAAAACAGTGGCCACACAAGTGGTCAATCTGCTGAAGTACAAGTAGATCCAAGCAACAAGTTCACACCAAAACATCCATGAACACTTTCACAGCAATCTGAAAGTTTGGATGGGGAAGGCAGAAAAAGCTTTGTGTAGAGAGCATAATAGAGGGAAGGGTGAGGCAGGTAGATAAAGGACAAACAGGCAAACGTACACAGCATTTCCTCCCTTACCCCAGAACAGTTACCCAGCATGTAAAACTCAAAGTGCTGCTTTTAAGAAAGTAAAATTGATTAAATACAAATTTGTCACGTCACTTGACCGACACTTCTTATTTCTCATATTGCAACTCTGTCAGCTAACAAAACCACCCAGAGCCTAGGAAACTAAAACTCACAAGCTGCACAACAGGATTAAATTCAAAACTAGACACATCAACCCAAAAATTAGTTAATACCTGCTCCCCAATTAGCCAGTGTTTTATGAGTTAGTACATTCTTCACTGAAATACCTTCACACACACCTTGCTCTATCAAGTCATAGCTGAAACTTCTACTCAAATTTGTCAGCCCTACTCCTACTATCTCCTCCTGAGGACTCCAGCACTGAACATGGGTTTTTTCCAAGAGCTCAAGTGATCTATTCAGCAGATCAGGTGGCTGCATGAATGAGGGGCTATCGCATGGCCAGGACAGAGGAGAGGGCAGCACTATCCTTTTCCACAGCAATCCATATTTATGCTGCATGAAAGCACAGGAGCAATCAGGAACACAGAAAGCTCTCTCATAAAGCTTGGGTTCCACAGTACTGGTTTGAACAGCCTGCAGAGCACTTCACTCCCACCTCTGCATTATAAAACTGTGTCACACTGAGGAATGTGCTGAAAAGGCAATCACATTTCCTGCTGCTTCCCCTCCACCATTCCTGACAGATGTCCATGCCCTTTTATAATGGGGAAAAAAAGGAGCTGGATCATACCAGGCGCCCCGTATCTGTGACAAAGTGAGTGATAAACACATACATATATACAGGAGAATATAAAGTTAATTTGATTTTACTAAAGGTGACTTTGCAAGGAAGACTTTTGGGGAATTTTAAGGAAAAAAAAGGGTTTCTCCACTTTGCCAAAGCACCTCCCATACATGAGTACACTAGACACTAGGTTTATCTATTCAATTTGGTCAAAGCTTTTCCCCCAGTTCCCAAAGTAAGGTTTTCAATTACTTTCTTAATAAGCTTCTCTCTAGAAACAGCAGAGGTTTTTTAGGAATTAATGTTTTGTAGTTAGAAACATGGGAGAGTTGAACAGAGTTTTCAGAACAGAGAAGGCAGGAGCACACTGCCCATACACCTGCCCACTGCCACCAACAGATTGTGCCACCAGAAGTGGCTGTCCCAATACTCCAATGCTTGAGAATAATTCCTACTGGAGCAGAATTTGGTTCCCATCAAATCCATAAACAGTGTGCAATGGGTATCTGTAACTGTACATGGTTTCTTCCCTGCCCTAGTTTGTAAGGCCTTAAACAAAGCAGTTCCCACTGCAGACAAATCCCAACCCACATTTGGGATGGGGCATGAAAACAAGACATCATCTGTTTTAGTGATATTAAGACTGGGAAAGGAGATTGCAGCTCAAGTTGGAAAGCAGCTGGCTGCAAAAACAATCTAAACAAGTACTGAGATACTACTCAGGAAACAAAATAGTTCAGGACATCCCACGTTAAGGAAAGCTTTCATACATGTCACAAGATCAGCTTTTTAGCTGTGACTATCTTCTGTGCCCCTTAAAAAGCAGATACTCTCAGACATAATTCTTAGAGAGGCTGAGTATCTGCAGCTTTGAAAGCCTCTGAGATATGAGCTCACCACCTCCAAACACAAGGCCTCGGGTTATTATGAAGTAAAGAATATCAAAAGGCTCAACAGAGCAACACAATTTCTCCTCCTTGACAGCTCTGCCAACACCAAGTACAGTGAGGAAATTCAGCATTGGGGTTTTTTTACTGTTTTTCACTTGATCTGACCTCCACTTCTAACCACCAGGTCTGGTGGGAGCAGAGCTGGAGGTCAGACACCAGACCCATCCAATTTTGTTTACATCAGGAGCTGCAGCGACAGGACAAGGGGAAATGGCTTCACATTGAAAGGGAGTAGGTTTAGATTAGCTATTAAGAATAAATTGTTCCCTGAAGGGTGGGGAGGCCCTGGCACAGATTGGCCAGAGAAGCTGTGGCTGCCCCTGGATCCCTGGAAGTGGCCAAGGGGCTTGGAGCAACAGGGATAGTGGAAGTGTCCCTGCCCATGGTAGGGGACTGGAACAAGATGAGCTTTAAGGTCACTTCCAAGTCAGACCACTCTGTGATTCTGGGATTTACTGATGATACAGCATCACCATCCAGCCACAGCAGTTTGAAGCTTATTACATTTTTTCCCAATTACTTCTTTGACTCTGTTTTCAGGTCAACTTGTTATTTTAGATTCCTCACAGAGGAGAAGCTGAATCATGGAGCGCCTCCTCTGACAGAGAAATAGCAACACAGTGACTGTGAAGTGCAGGTGCTTTGCTTTGCTTCAATTTTTAACAACATTCTTCTTTTTGTGTGCACAGGAAAACACCAAACAGCTCACACAAATTGGGAAGAAACAAAGAAATTCTCAAATACCACTTTTATGACAGGACATACTACACTCCCTCAATTTAATTATTCGCTGTGTCCAGAAGTTGTTTTTCTTTTGGCTCAAACAAGGAACAATATGGAACTTCACTTCATTAAATGATCAAGCCCTCCCTGCAAACAGGCCAGATGCTGATTTAGACCAGTCTACACCACAGATTTTTTTGCTGGGATGGTGCTGGCTGAAACCTTACGTAATTACACCTATCAAGTCAGTGTTCCCACCTCAAATTCATTTTGTTCATGTCTATGGATTTTCAAATACAACTACTTTTGTGTTTACAGGGAAAAAGGGAGTCCAAGGTGCCAGCTTCAGCCTTCAGCAAGACTTGCAAGGAGAATCAAGACCCACCCTCCTTCCCCCCATGCAGCTGCCTCTCACAGGCTGCTCCAAAAAGAAAGGCAGGCTGGTTTCTTTATTTCAAAAACACTAAAGCAACTTTTCAGATGAACACAATAAGCAGAAGTACCTTATTCTGAAACAAAGGGATATCTATAACCAAATGCAGAATGTATTAATTCAGCACTTCAGGAGTATAGAAGTAAAGCCTTCCACAAATCTTAGCCTGATTTTCCAAGGTGGACATTTACCGACTTTCTTCTCTTACCTTACCAAACTTACTCTACCTTCAGCTATTTGCTCTTCCTTCTCAATAATTCAGTATAACCCTCCACAGATCAGCATATTAAAAGCAGAAAGCTTGAACCTGGGCTTCTGTAGTGTGATGGGAACTAACAATAAGCTCCATTGTCATCTCCTCAAATTAATTTTAATAAAATTAAGAACCCTGACCCTGTCAATGGAACAAACAGATCAGATCAGCACTGGATCTGGAAGCTTTGCAGTAGTATCTATGTATTATAATAAAGAATGGAAAGATCATTGTGAAGCCACAAACACAGAAGCAGTTTCTGCATTAGCCCAAGCACACTGAAGCAAGGAATTTAACAAACAAGCACAGTTTGCTTTGGTTGTTAGGACAGCTCTTTAAAAAAGCAACGATTCAGTCCCAAACAGAGCAGCAGAAAGGAGAAAACACTCTGTCATCTCAGCAAAAGAGCACTGGAATAATTTTCTGCAAGCTGCTCTACGAGGTGGGGGTTTTACTTAGGAAATGTTGATTTCCATACAGAACACCAGCTGGCTGTGTGCAGTGCCGACAGCAGGAACTGGACTGCAGCAGCCACAGAATGCAGAAACCCTTCTCACCAAACAGATACAAGCAGGGTTGGGAGGCTCTGCCAAGCTGCATCATCCTCCCATCCTCAGGGCTGATCCAAACCCACACGGATCAGCTCTGCTCTCCCGAGGAGGGGAGCTGCTCCTCTGCTCCCCCAGCAGCAGGGACCAGGCTGCTGGCTCAAGAGAAGCATCATCCAGCTCAGCCTGGCACAAATCTGAATTCCATTAAAGACCCAATCACTCCCATGCACATCACAACACAATCTATAAACTACAGCGGTAATGGTGCATGAGGAAAAAATCCTAAATAGTTACTCAGTTTCAATGAAAATATTTTCCATCTAGTGCTCCTCTGCTCCCCCAGCAGCAGGGACCAGGCTGCTGGCTCAAGAGAAGCATCATCCAGCTCAGCCTGGCACAAATCTGAATTCCATTAAAGACCCAATCACTCCCATGCACATCACAACACAATCTATAAACTACAGCAGTAATGATGCATGAGAAAAAAAAACCTAAATAGTTACTCAGTTCCAATGAAAATATTTTCCATCTAGTATGTTAAGTGACTTCTAACATTTTCTTCAGTTTTGACAGTCCAGCATACTCATTACTGAAGATTTTTAGGTATGTCCTGCCTCACTACCTAAAACTTTTCATCTTATAAGTGGGGAATGAGTTAAAATCCAGGAGACTTCAGCTCTCACAAAGAATACAGTTCTCTTAACCCAAAAAAAGCAAGAAAGTAAGAATTAGCTTCTGAACACATTCAGAAGTCTGTTCATTGGGTGAATTCAGATGGATTTCATTTACATGAAATTAATAAAAAATTGTTTTCATTCTGCTTTATGGATTCATATCTCATTTCAAAGCATGTTAAATCTACTTTATTAGGTATTTATGGTATTCAGAAAAATTACGCTGATTTTGCTTCAGCTTTCTTTTCAATATTCTATTCATACTTCCAACCCAACTGCTGACTTCTCATA